CAATAAGTGTTTGAACTGCAAGAAATTCATAATTATATAAAAGAAAAGAGAAAACTCAGCAACAAAAAAGCAACTTACACACTGTTCAAGGGAGTTTGGATAACGAGTCTTAACACACAAAACAGTAATCATGCATGTACATTCATGTACAAACGTGCGTTCGCACACCTATATGCACAAAAAGACGAAAAAGCTACAACTAATAACCAGCCAGCCAAGTAAATTTAGCAAACCGTACGTAGCAATCTTAAATTCTAAAAACAATATATATATATATATATATATATAATTTAGATTTAACACGCACAGGCACATGGCTAACACTCTTATATGCGCAATGCCCTTTTATGGCAGACATATGCAACAAATACTGGAAACAATAGGAACTTCTGCAAACGTATACCACGTTAAAGTGCGACGTCGTTTGTAACCGAGAAGATTCTTCAAAATTTAATTTTTCTCATTTCCTATCATCAGGCGGCATAGCGGTCACAGTGGTGGATTTCTTTTTTTTTTCTTTCTTAACGCGATTCCAAGCGCTTTGTTTCTTTTACTTTTTTGTTCAACGATACCACAAAAAAGGGAAAAGTAGAAAAATTCTATGGCGTAATGTGTTCCTTTCAAGAGCTCTTCTTTCTTGCTTCTTTGATTGGATGAAACTCATGCGTGAATGCATGCTTATTGGAGTGAATTGCAATTTTCCCATCATGAGCAGCAAATTTCTCGTATGAAATCATTACAAGGCAAACTAATCACCTAACCAAGAAAATTGACAAAGAATTAATTTCGTTTGATTGCATACAATTCTTTCAAATTAATATTTTGTTCCGTGGATTGGTATGTTAATTGAATTGTTCAATTCCCCGCATCCGCTATTATCGACGGTGGAGTTAGAGCCAAACAAATGCTTAATACGCGGATTCTCTGTACACGTATAAGGTGTTAATTTTGTCTTAAAAAGGTCTATCGAAAAACCATCCAGATTATTGCACGTGTTCACGCATTACTACATAGATTCATCGGAGGCTACTATAGTGTTAACGATATGTATTTATTCCACTCATATTTTTTTATTTTCCATGCTTTTCTATAATAGAAACGTCGGTAATTTTAAGGTTGTGTCAAGTCACGGTGGTACCCGAGTATTGGGACTTGCGAGAATAATGTAGGTATGAACACGTCACTCTTTCAAATGGTGTCAGTGATTGGTTGCTATGTGATAAGTTGCAGTTTAAAGCAAACATTTAAGCCAACACATTACTTTTATCAGCCTGATTAGATATTTTTTGGTCGTTATTGAGAAGAGTCGGAATCGACGCGATCGACTGGTTTCCAATTATTTTAAAGAAAGATCTAGGTACGCAGGGTGTAGTATCTGACTTTGCTGGCTGTTTCTAGGCTGTTTGCGTAACAGATTAGTTTGGTCGTTTGGATTAAAATTTCTAATTTTAAAAGTCTGCTCTCTGGGCCTGATTGCATCTCTGATTAAGCCAACATTTGTCTGTTGGTTGAATCGAAGTTGTTTTGAATGAAATGTATGTTCGTATTACACGTTTCACGATATTTTGTATCGTTTCTGCAGCTGCATTAGCTTTGTTGTTTAGAAACCATAGCTTTCAAATAAAATGTCTGAAAAAGTTATTGAGCGCTGTCAAATTTGCCTTATCCGATATAGAAAAATCATGTTTCCAAGCTGATGAGGAATTATGGCCAATATTAGCATAGCAAAACGATGTAGAAATGGCACAATGGTCTAATTTACTGCGAGATGAAAGGGTTTTAACTTTGTAGTTGTTATCTTAACTTTATAATATGTTATTATTATATATTGGATGCGAGATAAGAAAAAAGAATACTGTCTTTTTTTCTACTCCATTTATAAGCTCCGTTAAGCAATTTTCAAGTGCCCTTATCTCTGCGCCGTGTTCCTGCGAAATTGTATGGCCCGAATGGCGCAGCCAGTTTTTATTGTCGACATTGAAACCGCGAGCAGCTCCGATTTCGTTGTATGAGTAATTTTGTAGAATAGAACACACCGGATACAATGTCAAAGCCATTAGCGAAAATCATCTTATCCGCGTTCGAGCTTCTACAAGCAAACACGAAATGCAACGTGCGTCTGGATAGTGAATTTCACCCATAGCGAGATGAATTCACGATCCTAGGTGCTGTAAGCGGAAATCATATGAATCACTGTGGATTATATGCTTGGCTTAGACCGAACTATGTAGAAAGTACTTTCCTGTTTTTGTTGCGTCTTCTAATTAATAATAGGCAGACTAGGAAGAATACAAGTTCTTTCACACGAAATTATGTTTAAGTCTTAAGGATCAGTACAGGTGAGGGGTATTTGGTCAAAAAGGGTTTCAAAACGCTTCTTTTAAAGATTGAATGTTACGAAAAAACAAATTAAAACTTGCGTAGAGACTCATAACCGTAGATTTTCTTTTCCGAAACCCATGCTGAAATGGAGAAATATAAATTGCAAAATTCCTTCGGACAAAGTGGAACAGTACGACTACAATGTGTGCACAAAATCGCCATACTGACAATATGAATATATAGTTTATGTCTAAATGAAGGAATTGTTTCAATGTTTATTTCAGATAAACTGTCACAAGTCATCATGTCCATTGTGAAAACATGGGTTCCTTGAAAAACGCACCCCAATGATTGAATTTTCAAAATTTTTGAACGAGAGCTTTACAAAACGTAACTGAGATGTTGTTGCTCATATAAAAACGCTTTCAAGTTTCAATTAAACAAATAACTCTTTTGAAACTCTCTGTAACCCCTTAACATGACGGCTACCAAAATCGGTCTATTTGATGTTTTTTAACTTTTAGACTTCAAAAGATTAGTTACAAAGTATAAATATTTTTAAAAAAATTTTGGTAATTTAATTTTCGAGATACCGATGACATACACTTACGACAATAGGTCAATGTAATCCATAATTTGTGGAACAGTTACAGTCGCAAAACTTTCGTGATTTAATTTTCGAGGTACCGATGACATACACTTACGAAAATAGGTCAGTGTTAGCCATAATTTGTGGAACAGCTACAGTCGCAAAACCAAGAAAGTACAAATTTTGCACAAATGTATTTTGATCGATTAAGAATTCAAGGCTAAAAAGTGGTTGTGGATAAGCAAAGGAAAGTACATGGTTATTAAAGCATAAATCAATTTATTGAAATAGGCCACTGCTTTTCAATTTGCAGATCTTTTAAGCAAAGTTTTAGATGATCTTGATGTAGATCCTTGCTATAAACTTCGAACCACATGAAAATAAAAAAAATGCTTTACCAGTTAGTGCAACGAACAAATAAAAAGTTTTCTGGTTGTCCATTTAAACATAGTTTTTTCAATATTTTACTACTAGATAAGAACTAGTTGATTCCACTAAACCAGTCGTCGGTTGCAACAGCTAGAAAGTACGTTTGCATATTAATTTCTTTTGGTAAACCTGACAAAATTCATTTCAATTTCTTCATAACTTGACAACCATGCTTTATTATAAAGTTGATATTGAAACGTTGCATTGTACATATAATTCTAGAATACTAAATTCGAAACGAAGTCAGAAAGACCAAGACTAGAAAGCCCAGTCACAAGCTTTTATGGCTAGTGATCAATCACAAGGTCACCGCTGTTAACGTGCACAAGTGTAAATTTAGTTTGTTAATTGCAAGCGACAGATAAAAATGAAACCAATCTGCAATATTTTTCGCAGTGTAAATAAAAACATCTGCAGTACAGTGCTACTACTTTCTTTTATAGGCTCGTATCATGCATAATGATCTTTAGTTATTTAGTTTTATATTTTATAGGTCAAATTATGAATTATTTAAAATATTTGTATCAAATCCCAGTTCTTTAGGGAAAATATTGCCGGAGAACTACCGAAGAAACCGCGTAATTACATAATTAGTAATAATTCGTCTTCAATTTTGTGGTGCTTTTCTTTCTTAGAATCATCAATCATTCTTTTACAAAGTATTTTATATAGCACGATCAATCCTCATAAATCTTTGCATGATTGTTGAAGGTTGTTATCGATTATAATTAGTAAAATGATTCACTCAGGAAACTTGTTGAGTAAAATTAATAAATAAAGAAGTAACAAAGTTAAATGCGGTCGAGACCGAATCTTTTATACCCATTATCGTTATCCTAAAAAAGACAAAAGTAAAAGAACAAGATTTTCATGCTCTATAATATGGAGTGGGCGCAGTTGTTTTCTCCTATTTTCAAAATAAAAGTTTTTGTCGTAGAGGACATGCTTAAATTTATTTACAATTTGACGCTGATCAAGAATATAATAATGAACATACCTCTTATTCTTCTATGATGGGTATAAAAATAATAAACGCAACGAGAAGTTTTTCCCTATCGACTTACCACGTACAAAATTTATAGTTAAGTACATATAGTTTGTATAGTTTTATATAATTCTTATCTACGAGATAAATGTGGTATTTGATTAATTATATTCGCCGAATTTCTAGTAAAAAACTTCTACAAAACATTAAAATGAAGGATGCTCTTATATTAGGAAACGATAGACTGATATTTGGATTTAACAAATAGTTATTTTATTTCGCTTAATGCAAAAACTGAAAAAGATTCCGTTCTGCGCCCTGAGTAAGCATCAAAAGTTTGTTTTTGAAGTTACTTTATATGATTTCAAAGTCATAAGATCGGATTTAGTCAACAAACAAAGAGTAACAAAGATTAATTCTAAAACAAACCCTCTTTCTTTCATGTTTTTACTTACTGAACTTCGTGTTAAAAACTTATTATTTATTACAATCTTTATATAACATCGTTGGAGGTAAATGCTAACTGATGATGAAAACGGTAAGGAGGACACTTTGCGGCTTTATCGCAGCTCCTTTCCACAACAATAAAGTTCTTTCTCAAATTTTTTATCTCCATAAGATTATACATAATTTATTAAAGTATTTTTTAGAAATCTCGACGAATAAGGTACTTACTTGTACGGTTTTGAGCTGGCATATAACTCATTTTCGTGACTTAGGCGTTAAACCCCACAACTGAAATTATAAGATAGTAAAAATCATATATAAATTTTTATTTAAGATTTTAAATCCAATCAATATATTATTTTACCAGAAATCGGTACTGAAAAATATCTAATAGTGACTGAGAACAAAAATCGCAGTACGCACACAGAGAATTGCGCTTTGTGTCTAACAGGTGTAGCAGTCTAAAGTAAGTTTTTTAAGTTTTTTTTTTTGGTGGAAGGAAATGTAACAAAGTATTAATATCTCACAGGGTTACTAAGTATATATATAATTATTAAAAGAAAGAATTATTTTAAAAAAATATAAAAAAATCACTGGAGTCACTCTCGCGAGGTAACTTTAATTTGAGGGGCTCTAGGGCAAGCAATGTGGATGATACAAATTTGCATTAAAAAAAAAGAAGCACTTACTCTAGAGATCTATGCAACATTTATTTCCAAGTATTTTGAACATTTTTAACTTGAAAAGGGCTTTTAATGAGAAAAATTGATACAATATACATTAATCAAAATGTTTGCCACCATTTTCTTCAACTTTTCCCCATCTTTCTGGCAACATGCCGTTACCTTGCCGAAGGAACGATATTAGTTTGGCAGTGATCTAAACCATAACATCGACCTATTTTCGCACTTCTTTAGCATTTCGTAACCACGTGCCATCCAAAGCATGCTGTATCGATTTGAGCAAGTGGTAACCAGAAGACGCTACATCCGGTGAGTACGCTGAATGTAGCAAAGCGTCCCATTCGAACTGCGACAACTCTTTGAACGTTTGGTCGAGCGTTGAAATGCAAGAGGATGAATTTTCGCCTGTTAACAACTATGCCTGGTTTGCTTTACAGCAATACATCGTTCTACTTGTTCAGTTGACGGCGATAAATACTTTCAGTAATAGTTTCGTAGCTCGTAATACACTACACCTTGCTCATCCCACCAAATGCACAGCAAAACTTTATTGCCGGTGGATATGGATGACCCCCATAGCGCAACTTATGCGCTTGAACGTTCAACGTTTTGCGCTTGGAATTGTCGTAGCCTGTCCGCTTTTCATCGCCAGCCACAAAACTGTTCTTTTTTTAGCTGGCAACCAATGAAATCGCGAGAGGGTTCGAAATCACAGTTTCAGTCAATTCGTATGGTAGCAAGTTTGCCTCCTTTGGATATTTCCCATCGCATGTAAACGTCTAGAAATAGTTGATTTATCAACTACTAAACTATTAGAAAGTTCTGTGAGAATCTGAACCGGGTTTGCATTTAATAAGTCTTCCAACTCATTGCCATCGAACTTTTTTAGTCTTCTAGGTCTTCCTTTGTCTTTGACGTCAAAACCACATCTTTTAAGCGGTTGAAACAAAAACCGACGATTGAGATATGATGAAGCAGCATTATTATAAGCTTCTAAAAGTGTTTGATAGGCTTCGGCAGCCGATTTCTTCAAATAAAACAGCAAAAGTAATGAGTGTCGAAAATGCAATTTTGAGCGTTCCACGATTAGTGTCTGTATACACTGAATATCATATATAAAACTGTTATTTTATACAGACAAAGGCCAAAAGCATCGAATTTAACCGTTGCGTGCATTGATACCTCATATTACTTTACCATTTTCATTAATAGATGATCAAAATATATGCAAACAACTACCGTATTTTTCGGACTATAAGACGCAGTTCAAATTTATAAGATGACTTTTAGAAAAAATATATTTTTATGTTACTTTCGGATCAAACTTTTATTTATCGTTAACATAATTCGTATTAGCAATATTGAGTTCATCTTCACTCTCGGTGTTATCAATCGTCTCGTTAGCGTCACCGTTCGCATTACTTTCATCTGAACTAATTTTTCTGTCTTTCTAACCTCAAATTTAGAGACAATTTATTGAATTGTGAGCGGTTCTGGCGAATATTTGGGTACCAATTTTTCACAAATATATGAACGAAATCGGAAGACGAAAATGTGAAGATATGGTCGATTTTTCGAGATTGAAAATTGCAAATACCCCAAAAAGGACAAAAGTCTCATGATCTATAATATGGAGTGTTCGCAGTTGATTTCTCCTATTTTCAAAATAAAAGTTTTTGTCGCAGAGGCATGTGGGCGTTGTAGGCGTCCTTTTAAAAGTTTAGATCAATTCCATATTGTTTTGCAATTTTGTTTTTTTTTAAATTGAATATCTTCAATTTCGCTAACGGGAGAATAATGCTTACTACTTACTTACTTACAGTACAAAGCTGCGCAAGCAAAAAGATGGGCAGACAAGTCATGGGCAGGCGGACATGTTTAGGCGTATTCCAAACTTGAAACTGGCCAAGAATTTATATACTTTATGAGGTTTTTAAAGTTTCTGTGCGTTATAAAGGTATTGCAAAAACAATTAAAGCTTGATACACTATGATATTGGGCAGGAGCGGTTAATTTTTTCCATGTTTGTACAGGGGCTGCAGCGTCGCGCATAGAATATATTTATGGAGCAATGAACAAAAAACCATTGTTTATTCCTTTTGAAAAACAGAGGTGTTCTCATTTTACGTGGTGTTGTGGGCGACTGATTTGGCGCATTTTCAAAAACTTTCAAAGTTTCTGCCGAACTTGAAGTCGTCATTTTTGCGGCCAGGAGAATGTTTACAACAGAGGTTGTACTAACGAAAATGCTTACACCGATTTAGAATTTGATGCTGATTAAGAATATATATACTTTGTGGGGAACCCTGATGCTTCCTTCTGGTCGTTGCAAACGTTTTGACGAAATGAATGTACCCCACATCCTTCAGTGATGGGTGTAAAAAGGTCCACATTTAGAGAAAGCCCTATATGATACGGAGAGTCAAATGGCTTCCCCCAGTTCTTTATTATTCATTCTCAACGAGTACTCTACCACTGAAATTGTGATTGCTGGTAATTTCAACGTCCACAACAAACCCTGGCTGCTCAATTTTATCCACATACTTGAAAACTGTTTAACACAGCTTGTAGAAAAATGAGCCAACGCACATAAGAATACTATAACTTTTTCTTACTTCGCATTTTCGCAAAATATGGAGCTAAGATCCTTGCACCATCCTGCTATTTCCGCATCCTGTTCGCATGCCAATCTCTGATACCTTTGTGCCCCAACCCCGAAACGTGAGATTTAGAAAATTATTTTTCCTAAATAACAAGGTCAACACCGCTGCGGTAACGATACAAAATATCATCAAATATAGATTGCGAACATACATTCCATTCGATTAAACCAAAAGAGAAATGTTCGTTTAATTAGAATTACAGAGATACATTTAGTTTCAAAGCATTTAGAGTTTAGTCGTCTAGGTTAATGCTTCGCAAACAATCTGGAAATTTATGCAACTAGGCATTACACCGCGCAAAAATCCTTGCCAAACCAAAAAGCAGCAAAAGCTTCTGATCGGTTATGAAACAAATTGGAAACGAATCTACTACATCGAATTCGACCAAATAATATGCGATCTGGTTTATAAAACTAATGTGTCGGCTGAAATATTTGCTCTATTTATCAATTTACCACCCAGCAAACCATCACATGCTGGAAGATTGCTAGTGTCCAAAAAGTACGCGAGAAAGGTAACCCCACAAGTGCTGCCAGTTGCCGCCCAATTATAATCTGTTCGGCAATCGTCAAAATCATGAAAACCATGGTCAACTACAGCCTGGTAATATGTCTGGAATCCAACACTCTAATTTGCGATAGACATTATGGCTTTCGCAAAAAACGGTCGACTAGGCACCCTACCTCACTGAGAAGTGGAAGCGACCTGTTCGTCATTCGAAAGTAAACTCGTAGCACCGGATACCTCCGCAGCATTTGACAGAGTATAGCTTGATGACGAAAGTGATTATATTTGGTGTCGATGAAACTTCCACTCGGCTCGAGAGGAATTGCAATCGACGGATTTACTTAAATGCATGTGTACTACCGATCTTTGTTCTTTCTGAGTGACAGAAAAGCCTATTCATTCATTTGTAGACGACAGCACGTTGTCATTGGTTCTATTTTCCCAAGGAGCCTAACAACGCCGCAGCACACAGTAAAGGCTACAAAATGAATGATACGTTAAATGGAGACCTCACGAAATTCGTGTAGTGGGGTCAAACTAATACGATAAATATTAATACCGCCAAAACCCAGTAATGCCTTTTAAAGCATAAAGAAAGCGATGAATAATCCTTCTCCTTTGGTGATGTCAATATAGGAGAGCCGGCATCTCTTGAGGTGTGCGTGAGAAATTCTTCATTGCAACCGATATAGTTTGGAGACGTTCGACCGTAACAGAGAAAGAATCGGGTGTTCATAGGCTACGAAAGTGTCTCCAAAACTCTCAATCTTCTTCAGCATTGGTGTAATGTTGGCTGCTTGGTGCTTAAGTACACCCAAAACAAGTGCTGTGTATAGATAAAAGGGGCACAGCCACCAACTAAGTTCCCCGCCTGGACCACGAGGTCTTCTCAGCATTCTCACCCATTCCGCCTGGAATTGCCTACACGTCGTACCACTACTCGTAGCATTTCAATCACACTTCCAGCCTCTGGAACTATCAGGGGTCTCTCCCACCGTGCATGATGCTTCCCCTTTTAAGTCAAATGTACATAAGCACTACACCCTTTTTTAAACCCCCTCTACCTATAACCATTCATCAAGGCAAGAACATTTGCGAGAATTCCTAAAGAAACCTCTTCCACCCATTTACATTGGAGAACAAAATCTTATAATTCACCCTATAATTTCTGAATGCCAAAACCTTCCCATTCGAAGACTCGTATGCAGCGCCCCTAACCCTCTGGACATCTAGAATGCATCTGGAGGACATAAAATGGATAAAATACTTAAATTTATTAAAGTGACTAAAGTAAACAATGTAAGTCAAAAAATAGCCGATAGTCTTCTTCTGCGAGTCAGCGAATCAACAGCTGCTAGTGCTTGTCTTACTTTAACCTTTGCATTTCTTTCCTAATAATAATAATAACAACAACAACAACAATAATAATAATAATAATAATAATAATAATAATAATAATAATAATTACAATAATAACAACAATAATAATAATAATTACAATAATAATAACAATAACAATAATAATAAAAATAACAATAATAATAACAATAATAATAACAAAAATAATAATAATACCACCAATAATAATAATAATAACAATAACAATGCTTTTCGATTCAAGTAAGTCAAGTCCTCTGGAAGGTGAGTACAATACTTAAAACGTAAAAAATACATCAAGTAGTAATGACTATTTGTAGGAAAACACGAGTTATACGAATGACATGAAATCGCGTGATATGAGAACGCGTTACATGAATACCGTGTTACAAGTGGGAACACTATATACATTTTTGTGACTGTCAAACTCCAAAATATTACAGCTGGTTCTCCTCTTCGATAAATTAACAAACAAACTAACTGTTGATGAGATAGTGACTCGCTTTTAGCTAAACGGAAGCATGGATCACGAGCTATTAAATTCGTAAATTTGGGTACTTCCTGATGTAAGAATCGACCCCGCTCGAATAAACAGGTCTGAATAAAGCGCAGTACGTTAGTTTTTATTAGTATTTATCAGTACCATTGTCATCATTTAATAAAAGCAAACAATGTTATATAATAATCGCTATATTTTATGAGTTGCCCCTATTAAACACGCATCCATTGCAATTGTAAAAATTCCCTTAAAATATAAGCTATGAAGTGCTGCAGGCGCAAGTCGACAACGAAAGACGTTTTCGAGAAACCGTCCAACAATTTTTAAGAAAGCAAATTCAATTGTTGAGGAAAAAAAGTCGAGAAAGATAGGTCGTTCGACACCGAGGTACTGAAGTTGAAACAAGAGAACGACGATCTCCTCTTTAGTCAGACACAAAGTGATTTCGAGTACGATGACGAGAAACTTAGTTAAATCCTTTACGTTTCTACTCTAATTGGATCTTAAAGAAGATAATTTTCATTTTGTTATGTTAACAAACTTTAAATATTATGTTTTTTTATTTTGTTACGTGTATTATGTACACATTTAATTAATATATAATATACGTATATATATATTTCTATTATGAAATGTAGTAATAATAATGATAATGATAACAATAATGAAAGCGTAAAAAAACGCTAAAGCAGTGCATGTGTCACTTTGAATAAATTTTTCCTAATATCAGAACGAGTGTAAGGTTTACTTCGGTTTATTTAACTACACTTGCTTTTCGATTCAAATAAGTCAAGTTCTCGATAAGGTGAATACCATACTTACTTAAAACGTAAAAAATGCATCAAATAGTAATGACTAAAAAGTCACTGCTAACCATCAAAAGGGAAGACCAATCCATTTTCCTATTATCATGGTTTACAATAGAAACGAATCAATTTTACCAAGAATTATAATAACGAATTCCGTACTTCCAACATATGTTTGCAAGCAACTAGCACTCCATAAAAGTTTGTTGACTACACGTAAGGTACATTATCCTTCTTTATAAATGCTTATAAAAAGGAGATGACGTTAGAAACGCATTGCAGTTAAAAAAAAACAAGTCCATCTTTTTTTTATAGGCCTAAAAACGTTATTATTTTAAAATAATATGTGACAATAACGCAACAAAATGGAGAAAATATTTTTATAATGTCAACGCAAACAGTAATTGCATACACAAACTTAAAAAAGAAAATAAGTTTCAATTGTGGCCGAATTTTGTACGCCCCCAAAGGTTGTCTTAAAAAGGAATGAAAAAAAAAGTTTCAATACCGCATAATGTTCGATGCGTATAGCCGGACCTCACACTATATACGTGGAAGTTGCATCCGTATGCATTCTGCATAAATAATGACCAAAAAAACGCATTTTTTCGCTTTTGAAAACGTAGGTGTCCTTTATGTCTCCGCAACATTCGCTAATGAGTGTCAAGAAATGTGTTGCAAATGTCGCAAAGTTTCTTCAACTTAGAGTAAACACGATATTAACTCAACTTTCGCAAGGTAGAAAGTTGAAAAATAAAAATTAAATCGCTTTCAGACTATTATCTTTTTAACCGCAATCTAGTTCAAATTGATTTGAAATTTTTCATAATTTACCTACTAGCTTCGAATGGAAATTATGAATCACAGACATAAACTCATCATTTACAGCACTTGCACATCGTGAAGTCACTTTCATAAGAGCAACCAAGCTTTAAGTTAATTTCTCTCTTTCAATTTTACTTCCTTACCCATCCTTTCTCTCTCTGATTTGCTATCTTTTTTTTCAACATTCAAATTTCTTATTTACGCATGAAAATTTGTTCTACTAATAAACGAAAACTATCGTGAAAACTATTCAATTGCACGTGTAAATTACATTAGATACAATTTTATTTTTATTTATGTAAGGACAATTTGTTTTTTGAGAAAATTTTACCTCAATGTATACTGATTATTTTTCGAAAAAAAATTTGCGAAAACTTTCTGCCGATTTGCCGAATTAAGCACTTCACACAACGAGAGATACACTTCGAATGTAAATCATAAATCATGAATAGGACTCACGACTCACTAACACAAGGCTGGTAGATGACATTTAACATAATACTTTAACGTAAGCAATGTAAAAGAATTGTTACGATTTGTGAAATAGCATACACAACATTTTCTCCAAAATAAAACACATCGTAAAATATCTACCCCACGAAGTATGTTAGAATTGCTAAACATTCTGGCGTGTAGAAATATGCATCGGAAGCCCCTTAAAGTGTTTGTATTCTTCATTAGCGTGAACAGTTATTCACCTAAACCTATTTAGTCTCTTCTCGTTCTTTCGCCTGTACAAATTGTGATCATAAATTTAAAACTTTATTCACAGTCTAAAAATAGCTCTGAGACTTTTGATCAATAGAATCTCCATATCAATAACGAAAATCAACTGAACTGATGGAATATTCCATTAATCACTTCCAGAAATCACTTACAGAAATGGGAATTCAATAATGAGAAATGGCAATACCAGCAAAAGATAATTAAAGCAAGTTTATCAACATATATTAAAACTCTAATGTATGTTTGTTCTCTTTTTTTTAGTTAATACCGTCCCATTTGATTTAATAGCTTCCAACATCTTAACTTTTTTAATTTATAAAAGAGTATGCCTTGCAGCAATAATGTATATTATTGAAATTTTTTTATTCAGTGAAGCGGCTGCAATTTTACATGCTTTCTATAAGTAATCGACATAAAAAACTCAAGAAGTACACACCCACATATCACGAAAGCAAGAATTAGACAAAGGAGACTTCAATATTCATAGTATATCACGGCCGATCAAGTGTAATAATAGATGTAATCTGTTCACCACAGCCACAAATTTCTTACTCTAAAAGGTGAGTTAATCATATGATTTTGATTGTTTGATACGTCCAGCATTAACCAAGTGCACAACATTTTTATGTATTGGTTCAATGTAGTGTGCATCAAAAGCTAGCCACAAACCAAATTTAATCTTCTTACATATTTACAATGTAACTGCAGTTTTCTAGTTCTAGCAACTACCTCAGTAGAAATGGATAAAGGGGAAAATATGCAAAACATTTCTCTTAAGTATAACTCCAAATTTGATCACAAATTTGAATCTTCATATCAAAAATAAGAACTGTCAACTTCGAATTCTGTATTTTTAAAATTTAAAGCTGGTTTAAAGGGTACAGTAATTTTATGGACGCACTTTTTAAAAGTTTAGAATATATTCTTGGAACATTGGTTAAAGTTTCTATACTTTACAGAAAAAAAGACAAAAAACATGACTTTTACCAATTTTTACTGCGACGAAAACTTATATATAATTAGTTTAAAAAACCATGTTTTTCGAAAACAAATTGCTTTATGTACACTTTCTTGAATTCACACATATACGCATGTATGCATGCGTAGATAAACACTTAGCAATAACTTACAAAAAAAAAAACTATGCAACACATACATAACATATAAAAGGAATTCACCACACCCCAACAGAATGAAAATCGCTTCCCATATTTGTGTACTACTTAAAATTTCTAAAACTATTTTTAACACTTTTCTTCGAGAACTTTAAAAATAATGTTTATTACTTACCACTCAATTAGTTTTGGAAACAACTTTTAGTTTTTGCAATTTTTTTATGAACTGTTTTCTTAAAAACAATATACTTTTCCCTCTGAATAAAAATGCACATACGAACACGAGCTTAAACGAAGAATATCCGAACATTTGAATGTTGTCGTTATTTACGTACTCATTCTCTCTGTGGGCTACTTGATTACCTCAAAACGGTATTAAAACATTTAAGATTATCGGTAATAATTATGTATTAATGAAGAAATGCTTATTCCTATTCCTAATCCTGATTATATTCCTTGATGGGTATTTTACCTTAATTAGAAGGAAAATGATACAGCCGAAAAGACATAACATATTTATGTTCTACTCTTAAGGAGGTTCCTGATCGCATCTCTTCTGTTACAATAGAGTATAGTGCAATGGTGTAATCGAATCAAATACAAAAGAAAAGTTTATAAAAAATGGAAGAAAAACTAATTACCTATTTATACGAATTTTCAGAAAATAAGCAAACATAAGCGCACGAAAAGTCAATTTTTTTATCTAATTATTCTAAAATTCCTCAGATTGCAAGTCTTATGAAAAGTTCTGAAAGCTTAAAATATATACTAATAAATTATTTTCAATACCTTGTAACGACACGTCCTATTTTTAGTTTTCTATTTGTGATTTTCCTAAGTAACAGCCCTGCCCTAGAGCAAAATTGAAACTGAAAAATTGCATTGTCATTGTTACGGAATACCAAATTTGAGACAAAATAAAAAAATAGTGACAAGCATGCACTCATGTTTTACCGGTAACGGATGAAAGTGCAAGAATTGGGGTGTTAGAAAAATTGATTCCATGATATAACACACATTGTTTTAATGTTACTGACATCTCTTATTTTCGCTTTCTTCCCTTAATTGTTTAAAAAAGTTGTTTAAGGCTGAAAATAAATGAATTCTGTTGGGTAATCATGTATTTGAAAACTAACTTACGATTGGGACCAAGCCGATAACTGATAAAGGTTTTCGCTGCGATTACTTAAGACCTTCGTGTCATTTTCGTTGGGATCGTTAATGTGTAAAAGAAAATGTGGAAAGAAGAAGAAAATAGTTGTTGCGTTATAGGAAAACGCGTTATACGAGAATAGTCGTACAATGTGCTCGTATGATAATTTATAACGCGTTATAAACAAAAGATTCACATTTAACTTTTCTCCTTAAAGGGGTTTAAAGTGAAAGAATATTAAGCAAAAACTATGTTATGAACGAAATATGCGTGTTTTATTAAAATCAAACTAAGAACATCTTAATTAAAAAATTTATACATACGTAACTAAAAAACAATTAATTTCAAATAAATTACATAATTCCAAAAGCAGTTTTATTACATGTTTATTCGCTATCGGAGCTATCTGAAATAAGCCACAGTACAGATATATAACGTAGGATATCCACGCGTTATATGTGGAAAAACACGTGTTATAATAATGACATGAAATCGTGTGATTTGAAAACGCGTTCCAGGGAGGAATATTTCTGTGGCTGTCAAAATCCAAAAAATAACAGTTGGTTCTCCTCTTCAACAAAATTAGCATACAACCCAACTATTGATGAGATAGTGACTTGCTTTTAGCTAAACGATTCCCCAATGATCTCATACTTATATCAAACACAAACCAACATCCAGGTGCCTTAATGAAATTCTGTTTCTTATGTCTTAACTTAAGGAACAACGTATTAAAATCACTCCAGGTTCATTTTGCGTTAACAGTGCGATTGTGCTTCCATTAAAAAACTAAGATAATTTCTTATTAACCTAGCTGTTAACTACGAAATAATTGATTGGATTTCTGGATTTACAGTGGTCTTCCTCGAGGTTCGTGGCCAAGTCCAAAATATTTCAATTTGTAAATCTCGTGCCTTCACATGTTAAATGATAACAGCACTTATTTTTTTGCAAAACACTGATGACTTTACTATAATTTCTTATTGAAAACTTTTGTAGATGCTAGCAACAATATAGTATATAAAATTTCGCTCCTTTAATCAAGCCGATCTCGATTGGCATTTTATAAAGCAGATTGACTTGGCGGTCTTAAGCCGAGCAGCGTAGGGTAATACACCACAAAAATCTTGAACAACACTTTGGAAAGATTCATAGGAAATCTTTCCATAAATAAACATTTATCTACTCCAATCCATAACATATACTACAATATATGGGGAAACTATTTAGGGAACTTATTCGCATTAATAGCAATGAAATTCCTTTAGTGGAAGTTCCTTTTGTTAATTTTTTGGGAAGAAATATATCCAGAAGCTTATCGGTTGGTCATTAAAGAAATTGCCTGTACTCCAAATTAATTGAAAACTTTCGCACATATCATAAGTGAACGTTTATTTCAACGACTCTTAAATTTCATAAAATCTTAATTCAGATTAAAATACTTTAAAACCACTCCCTGAGAAGGCCTTCCCCGTCCATTCTCGTTCACATTACTAATGTATTTAGACAATGAAATTTCTTCACGTCTGAGATCACCGATATCTAATATGCCTCTCTTTACGGTCAGCCTATTTTACTGTTAATACGTTTACGACAAGTTTTCCTATTTCGGGAATATCACTTAAATTTTGCCCCCTTTTTGCAGACCATTGTTATAATTGGCAAATCTTATGGAGCTAACACAATGAGGTGTCATTTTCGTTTCCGGCTTAAAAAGTCTCAAATTCTCAACAAATTCAAATGTAACAGTGAGAAAATTGCTATAAAAGTAAACAAACGTGTTTTCGATTAGTCGTAAAGAAGATTTATTAGATAAAAAATTAAAGCAAACGGGAAGAGATTGGGAAAGATCACTTTTTGAAATACGTGATGTTGACGGGGCTGTTGCGACATCGTTTATACAATTATGGCATACACATTACTTTTCTTTGTCCCCCAAAAGTTGGATCTCCCTTTTATATGTAAAGGTAAATGGTAACAAATAAGTAAATAAATTTTATAAAATTTGTTCTTTAGGTCATTTCTCTACGACTTTGTGAGGAATCTATGATGTAAATTATACTTTCGAAAGTATGGATACCGCAGCTTACGCTTCCTAAGCAGACAAGTATTGCCTTTTTTCATTGATGCTTGTTACGTAATTGCACCAAATTGTGTTATTACTTGAAGTTTTCGAATTCCAAACTTTGTTTTGCCAGTATTTTTAATCTTGGATTTTATTCATTAGTCTGAATTCGAGAATTTATTATTTTAATCTATTTAAATTTTATGACATCATCGAAATAATTTTATATTAATTGCCCCGTAGTTTGCAAATTACTTATTACTCGAAGGGTGTGAAGTTATATTTAAATATAAATAGCAAAGACACAAACTAAAATTTTTTACAGAGCTCTGTAAAGCTGTTAACAGAATTCTGTTAAACTGTAAAGTTTCGGAGGGATTTAACTCAAAATACAAGTAAAATAGAAGTTTTCGCAAATTTTTTTGCAAATTCTTATAAACAAAACATGACTTTATGTAAATTAACTAATATTCGAAACCAAAACTTTTTTACACTATGCCATAAATGAGGTTGATAAAGCGAAAGTTTACGGAGCTGCTGTGACCAAACCATGTCCCTTGAAAAAATGAAACCAGCACAGAGTGAATCCTCTATTAATAGCCTTTCCAACGGTGTGCAGGTTATATTAAGTTTTGCCCAAAGAGTCTTTTTATGGGACTTTGAAAATTTCCATACTTAACATAATGCGGGCTATTATGAAAGTAAAATAAAGTATCATGAGAGTAAAACAAAAATATCATGAAAGTAATTTCTGTGCATCTTTTTATGGGACTTTGAAAATTGCTTTTCATAACATAGGCAGCTTGAGAAACAATGTTAATCCACCATCAAAGTCGAGAACTTCGAAATGGTTCTCTCTCATTTCTCAGTGCATTGTACTCTTGCGTTGATTTGTGCGTAAACGAATGTAAACAGGCATTTATTGGCTTTGCAAATATTAAATCGTTTTTTTTTCTATGCATGATGATCTAGTATTTTTTTTAAGAAATTGAGTGAGAGAGGTCGAAATAGAAAATGCGTAAATAAGGAAGGTTTTGATGCGTCAGATCAGATATGGATTTTTATTTATAATTTTTATCAATTATGAGATACACATGGCTTTGTATATAAATTAGATTTGTTTTCGGGTTTGCGTTAAAAATTGAAATTAGGAAATTACACGGTTTACAGCGTTTTCTACTAATTTATATACAATATTATAAGCACTGTCAATGAAATTTATGAAAATAATTGTAAGGGATGTAATAATTGCGTTGCAATCATAGTTGCCTTTTTCCAAAAATTAGATCGATAATATAAATTTGCTTATATGTTAGCCTATGTCCAATAAAAAAACTCTTTGGGCAAAACTTAATATAACCTGCACACCGTTGGAAAGGCCATTAATAGAGGATTCATTCTGTGCTAGTTTCATTTTTTCAAAGGGCATGGTTTGCCCACAGTGGTCTTTTAAAATTTGCTTATATGTTAGCCTATGTCCCATAAAAAGACTCTTTGGGCAAAATTTAATATAACCTGCACACCGTTGGAAAGGCTATTAATAGAGGATTCATTCTGTGCTAGTTTAATTTTTTCAAAGGGCATGGTTTGCCCACAGCGACATTTCAAAGTTTGCTTATATGCTATCCCGCATTATGTTAGCCTATGGAAATTTTCAAAGTCCCATAAAAAGACTCTTTGGGCAAAAGTTAATATAACCTGCACACCGTTGGAAAGGCCATTAATAGACGATTCATTCTGTCCTAGTTTCATTTTTTCAAAGGGCATGGTTTGCCCAAGGTGGCATTTTAAAGTTTGCTTATATGTTAGCCCGCATTATGTTAAGTATGAAAATTTTTAAAGTCCCATAAAAAGACTCTTTGGGCAAAACTTAATATAACCTGCACACCGTTGGAAAGGCTATTAATAGAGGATTCACTCTGTGCTGGTTTCATTTTTTCAAGGGACATGGTTTGGTAACAGTAGCTCCGTAAACTTTCGCTTTATCAACCTCATTTATGGCATAGTGTAAAAAAGTTTTGGTTTCGAATATTAGTTAATTTACATAAAGTCATGTTTTGTTTATAAGAATTTGCAAAAAAATTTGCGAAAACTTCTATTTTACTTGTATTTTGAGTTAAATCCCTCCGAAACTTCGTTTAACAGAATTCTGTTAACGGCTTTACAGAGCTCTGTAAAAAATTTTAGTTTGTGTCTTTGCTAGTTATATTTAAATATAACTTCACACCCTTTATTACTCGCTAATAAAATGATCTCTGAATATATTTTAGCATTAAAATAGTCTTTACTGGTTATTTATCACTTCTTTCAAAATAATGCATGGTATAAATTAAAATTTTAAATCACATCATATGTAGAAACGTACATTAGCGTAAGGTAAACGTAAATTAGACAAACAACTTTAAAATGTAAAAGAAGCGATCATCATTTCTTCTTGCGCATTTTTTTCTTTCCTACAAAGCTTTATGAAACGTCGACATAGTAGAAGTCCCAACTCGAAAATTGGAATAACACCTCACTGTGTCAGCCCTCTTATGATTTTGTATGTATCCAAACAAAAAAAAAACAAAAATGGTAAAACAAAACAATTTATTTTAAATTTAGAAGTTATTTAGGTTTATTTTGTAATAATTTGTATTTTGTTTACGTTATTCGATTTGAAATTTTGATTTATACTCAATATTATTTTATAAGGTCTGAAAAACAAGTAGCAAATGTATTTTTCGATTTAAAATGTGGTTATCAAACCAAAATATTTAAACAATTTCTTTGTTTTATGTAACTGCATCAGTGAAGTTCACCTTTATGGGTGGCTAAGACAATAAGGCGTTTTTCCTATTCTCACGTTAGGACTTCAACTTTGCCGACTTTTTACAAAACTTTATGAACATTGATTCGGAGTTTTGCTTATATACATACAATCACCCATTTTTTCAGTCTATATTTCATTAATCAATCAAAAATTAACTTTACATTCATATTCTTACTGTTATTTACCATATCATTGTAACGTTTATATTAATTTGTTTGGTTTGATTTTCCAAACCATACGCTATTGTTCACGTTTACGTCGTTTTCCTTTTTTTTTCATATCGAAAAAATGGTAACGTATGTTTTCACTATGTTTACCACTTACCACCTAAAAAATGGAGTACCATTTTCTTGGCTCCTGACACATTTCGCTTTGTTTTTGGATATAAAAATAAACGTTTAATATGTGAAAACCAATGTAAGGGAACGAAATTAACCCTCGCATCTTTAAAAATTATTCAACCTTTGACGAGCTTACGTGGGAATCGGCAAAACGTATGCTTTTAAATATATACAAACAAATAAAACAAATTATTCGAAACTTAAAATTTATCTTCCTAATTTTATATTTTATATGCTTTTGTGAACTTACGTTTTTATTCAGCTAGATGGTATAGGTTTCTAATTGCAGATCTTAAGAGATTTTTTCCAAGTTATTTACAGGAACTCATTATCACAATACTTTAATTCTCGTTCGCATCTTGCACTTTCGAATATTGCAATTCAATTCTCTTGACTCGGCTGACTTTACCTTCCGCAAACACTCTGGTTATATTCCTTTTTACAAACAATTTACCAATACCTGGCTTCATCGCGCCATTTTTGTGTTAATCCCTTTTTCCGCCAAACGTTCTGCTAATTTTTTCGACAATCGTCAGCTACATGGGGCAGGTAACATTTTATGGATGTGTATTTGGCTTTTTCTTTCTTTGGAATTTGGTTTCATGGAAATCGACTAATTTTCATGAAAACTCAAAGCATGAAATATGGCATTATATTGTTTGAAGGCTTTTTAAACCCTAAACCACATGTGGTACAGGGTATGTTAAGTTTGTGCGAGTGGTTCTAACACCTAGATGGTCTGAAAATAGACCCACCTACTTTTATGCAGATCTATAACCCTGTCTGTGTGTCTGATGTCTGCCCATGTGTTCAAGCTACAGGCCGTAACATTTGAGATATTTTCGGGCAGCCTGGTACATTGACATGTTTTGACACAAGGACGAACGCTATTGAAAATGGTTTGGATAGGACCACTTTTTCGACCATTCATATAACGCATATTTTTATAAGTCTTTGTAAGAATAAATGTTGTAATTTTTATAATGTCGCGACAAAAACCGCTTAGTAATAGGATTTCTGCATTCTAATTTGGATCGGATAAGAAAACTTTTTGAACCCCTTGTTATAAACCCGTTTCTACGGAAATTGAACCTTTATATGGTAAAAAGCCGTAATATTCAATACATCTTGATGAAAATTCTGTCGTAACAATAATTTGACATAAAAATTGACCATACCCAATTTGAACCAAGCAGGTCTGTTCTTTTGATTCCACCCTCTGCAACAGCTTTAGTCAAAAACATAGCTGCATTTGCCAGAAATGCTTAATATTTTATGATGAAAATATGTCCTTAAAAAATCAACTATACTGAATTTGGATCACACAGATCAATTTCTTTATTCTCAATTTCAAATTAGGTTTGCTAAATTTTAGACCACGTTGACATCTGATTATCCTCCAGTATGGGTGCGTTCATGGAAATTATGTATTTACATAAGAATAATGTATGATGCAGAGTATTTAGCGGTTAGAATTGAAATTGTTGAGCAGTAAATACTAGCAAAGGGATTTGATGAGATTATAGGATTTTTCTAATCCTTCTATTTATTAAACAATTTCAAAATAATTATTTTTTTCGACACTAATGTAATTTTTGCGTTGATTTGTTACTTTTTGCTACTAAAATCATAATTTCGTTGTGTACGCATACCTGCATTTCTTTCCTTTTTGTTATGAAATAATTGAACACATCATTGTTGGGCCAACGCGACTCTTAGGCGCGCTCCATCACATCGTCTAACACCACCCTTATTTTGGCCAGAGGACACACAAGTTATACCTTGTTTCTATATAAACTTATTAGCATGGAACTGTATATTAAAAATTAAATCTGCTTACAAATAAAAGCTTACTATTCTTAATTTTTATATCAAATTGTTATTGTGGCTCTATTTTCATCATAAAATATTAAAATTTAAATTTTTTTAACTTGGTAAACAAATATTCGTGTAAACACCTATGCTGGGTGGGATCTAAAAATATGCGTATGGATTAATTTTCATCCTTACATGTTACAATTCGGACTTTTCTACCCTATAAAGAATCAATTTTCGTGAAAATCCCTATATAGGGTAGCATCCAAAAAATAGACCAAGATGGTCCAAATTTGGTACAGTTAATTTTTTTTTGTCTTAAATTAAATTACTTTTACGATGTAGTTCTTATCATGAAGCATTGAAAATTAGACCTTTTTGCCATATAATCTTCAGTTTGTGTTACGTAAGAGGGCGTTCAAAACATTGCGCCAGCCGATATAAAGTTTTCACACGAATTTAGAATGCCGAAGTACTCCTACTTTCTTCAAGAAATACTAAAGATTAAGCCGCCTGAGTGGCCGAAGGCGAGAAATCTCGACTAGCAACTCAATGGTCGTGGGTTCGAATCTCAAGTGCGGTAGAGTTTTTAATAAAAAAAGCCGATAGCCTTAGGTGCTAGTGCTTTAAGAGTTTAGTCTTAGAATTTATTTCTCTGGCCAAATTAATAATAATGGTAATAATAATGCTGAAGATTGTAATTTTTTTCATAGAACAAGTTTTCAAAATAGGACATTATATGGGTAGTGACCTGGATCAATCAAAACAATTTTCAGTAGCGTTCGTCCTTGGATCAAAACCAAATCAAAGACATAGAGAGCTGTGGATTCCTTGTACAGTTTATAAAAATAAACAAAACAAAATTTAGGATGGCGCAAGTGGATATAAAAGACTCGGTTACGACCG